AATGCGCGCGTTTGTGTGTGTGTGTGTGTGTGTGTGTGTGTGTGTGTGTGTGTGTGAGAGTGTGTGTGAGTGAGAGAGATGAAAAGGATGAAAGGGCGATCAACTTTGTCGTTTCTGAAAAATATATACACGGAAAGAACGATTTTACTATTAAATTAAAAAATTTAATTAGATGCACGTAGATCTAAAAATAATTGTGTTGGATTATCAAAATGTAAAATATTTAAGCGTTAATAAAAATGCTGAAATGAATTTTAATACGCTGTAGCAATCAGTTTGAGCGTCCTACATATTTATTTTGGTGATCCAAACAACATTATTTGCAGATTTATTTCTAACTAAATTTTTAGATATTTCAGCAAAACTGTTCTTTCCGTATAAATACATCTACAAATTTGAAAAGAGCGATTTTTACAATTATTTACAAAATTTCTTTGTCAGCTCTCGCAAAATGTTTCTCGGAAATAGTTGCGTTTACAGTCCACACAGTCGAGTCGGTGAACTCGATGTTAAAGGGAGAAATTAAAAAAAAAAAAAAAAAATGAGAATCGTTTAGTACGGTCAAATTTCCTGGAAAAAGGCGAAGTGAACGAAACTTAGACCGTAATGGAGAATCTCATAGGAAAAGCAGGCGAAGTACCTCTCTTTGCGAGCCTTTTGCGATGCCTCTCATTTATGACACTATGTTGTGACAGGAAGCGGGCGTAGAGGGATGGTACTCGTTCGAAAAATAATCAAGGTTGCTTGTTACCTAACAGTCGGTCAAATCGAGCGCGATTTAATTCATTAGTGCAATAACGTTAAAGTGGCGTATCTTGCCGACTGTTTTGTTAAAACGTTATTTTTCAACCATAATGAATTCCCCTCGCATGGAGTGCACGCTGTTTTATTATACAGCGAGAATTTATATCGTATTGCGAAATTCACGTTGCGCAATTAGAAGGGATAAACAATGCACTTTATTTCAAATTGCATTTTTCGCAAGGACGGATCTTTCTAGAGTGGCGATGCGGTAGATGAAATTTTTCCCTTGGGAACACGAGGAGTTTCAAAGCTCATCGAATTGCCCGATAATGGCTATTCGGATCAATGTTTATCCTCTAAATAGTATTATGTTTTGGTACTCTTTGGTTTCGCCCTCCGCAGAGACATGGATAAACAATTCTGTAAATAAACATACAATAAAATAATGATGATAAATCAATTAATTTATATAATCGCGTGGGATGTGTAAATACGAAAGAGATAATTATCTACACCTACGTGATTTAATTAATATTAGATTTCGTGTTGCTGTTATAATCCTCGCTTATATAGAGCATCGTCAAGTATGTATATTGTTTCAAGAATAGAACGTGGCGATTCGAATTGTTATCGAGTATTTCGTACAATGTCTTTTCTTTTATCATTATTCTTTATCGTTCATTACGATAATATACGTGGATATTCAAGTGTTAAGTTCTTTATTTATATTATTCTTTATCGTTCATCACGATATCCAAGTATTTTCTACAAATTCGCCATTGTATACGTTCTTTATATCTTTAGTGAAATTGCAATTAGACCGTGTAGATACGAACTGTCTGAAGAAAAAACACATATTTTTGCTCGCAAAATACGGAAGTATTTTTACGAACACGAGAATTCGCGAACCTTCGCGAAATATCTTGCAAGCGATCGGAGCGATGGGTACGAGAGGAAGTCTATAAAAAAAAGGGAGAAACGTTTGTCTCATAACGATATTAATGTGTGCCGTTATCGATGGACCGACGGGGATAATTTATGCGTCGCGTGCTATCGCGAGGAAACGCGCGTGCACGGAAGCACGTGTCAATGCGGACCGCGTCGATGGAGCACTTACGATTTCTAGACTCTTTGATGACGAAGCGGGAGACGGTGTGGAGTTCATTCCCCAGCAATTAGTCTTTGTCTGGATAGCCAAACGGTAAACAGACGTTACCGCGATGACATGACTTTAGACACGGCGGAAAATGTTACTCTATGTTACTCATACGTTCGACGTAAAGGTCACCTTTATACGGTATGTAGTACGTCAGTTTCAGAGACAAGATATACTTAATTAAAAATCAAAAACAATAAATAAAGGGCGAAGTAAGAGTCAATACGCAAAAAATTAGTCCGAAAATTGGTGAAGCATAAAAGATTGAGTCAAATATAAAATGTCTGAATATAAAATATAAGATAACATTTAATTAAATAAATTGACACATTACAAGTTTCGGCTACCAGATTGAGCCCTCTTCAGATACCATTTTGCATGGATTTGATATACAATAAGTTCTTGTAAAAACGCATAATAAATATTGTTCGGATGTAAAATTCTACGCCGTTCACATACCATTCGTGGTCAATGATTCTTGAAAATCTAATCACAATACAATATAAAGTCACATTACAATATAAACGTATAAATTCAAACAATAATAACTTACCAAAAGGCATGTGTAAATTACTTTAAAATATTTCCATAGAAAACGGCTGTATATGGTATATCGGTATAAAGCGAACATTGTGCGATAATTATAATGTACTTTCTTACACATTCGATCGGCGATACAGATCAACACATACTGAGAGAGGAGACGGAATGTTAGTAACAAAGAGTCAAAGTTTATTTATAATAGGAGTATATGCCTTGTGGAGACCTTCCGTGTCAGTTTGTAAATTTAAACTAACGGTCTGCTTTTTGATATTGAGCATCTCAGAAGTTAGGCGTAGCAAGGTTCTTCATCCAAAACTCTTACGTTGTCCCATTGGAAGTCATGGTCATACTGTAATCTATGTTCCGTTATGACTGATCGAGTAGATGTATTATATTTGATATGGTTACGATGCTCCGTAATTCTGGTTTTTAATTGTCTGCCTGTCTGGCCCACATATGATGCATCGCAATTGTTGCACGAGATCTTATAAACTACATTTCTTTTTGATGTAGGGGGGCATTTATCCTTTTGAACCTTAATATATTTTCCTATTTTATTAGGCAGCTCAACAGTAACGACATCAGGGTGTCATTTCGTAGTCCTAATAAAATAGGAAAATAATAAATATCCAATGGGACAACGTAAGAGTTTTGGATGAAGAACCTTGCTACGCCTAACTTCTGAGATGCTCAATATCAAAAAGCAGACCGTTAGTTTAAATTTACAAACTGACACGGAAGGTCTCCACAAGGCATATACTCCTATTATAAATAAACTTTGACTCTTTGTTACTAACATTCCGTCTCCTCTCTCAGTATGTGTTGATCTGTATCGCCGATCGAATGTGTAAGAAAGTACATTATAATTATCGCACAATGTTCGCTTTATACCGATATACCATATACAGCCGTTTTCTATGGAAATATTTTAAAGTAATTTACACATGCCTTTTGGTAAGTTATTATTGTTTGAATTTATACGTTTATATTGTAATGTGACTTTATATTGTATTGTGATTAGATTTTCAAGAATCATTGACCACGAATGGTATGTGAACGGCGTAGAATTTTACATCCGAACAATATTTATTATGCGTTTTTACAAGAACTTATTGTATATCAAATCCATGCAAAATGGTATCTGAAGAGGGCTCAATCTGGTAGCCGAAACTTGTAATGTGTCAATTTATTTAATTAAATTTTAATGTTATCTTATATTTTATATTCAGACATTTTATATTTGACTCAATCTTTTATGCTTCACCAATTTTCGGACTAATTTTTTGCGTATTGACTCTTACTTCGCCCTTTATTTATTGTTTTTGATTTTTATATAAAAAGTCCTTCGATTTGTTTAATATACTTAATTAAAAGATCAGGTTTAATTCTTAGATATTAAGGTAAAAAAATAGTGATACTACTGAAGTTGGTCCCTGGGACATCGATTTAAAAAAGAAACTGGAATAAAAACAGCAGTTTTATAAATCTATGTTTTATTAATCAAATCAGTCATTATGAAAATGAAACAGATGCAGCCTCTTGTTTTCTTTTTTCGAATGGTCTCACGAACCAATCTCAGTATTTGGGGATTAAGATGATATTGTTAGACCATTTTTACCAATATAGATTAACTTGAATCTCGATTTAATTTACTCTTTATCTTTTTCTAATTTTTAAAACTAGAAAAAGATAAAAAGTAAATTGAATTGAGATTAAAGTGAATCTACTTATTGATAGAAACGTACATTAGATATACAAATTATACATATTAAGGATTAAAGTAAAATTGTAATACATATACATGATATTATATAATGCACTTCTCGTATAAGCTGCCTAGTTAAAATGTAAAAATCTTTACTTATCTTAAAATTGTTGCAAAGTGCACTGAGGTACAGTTATTCAAAAATGCACTTTGGCAAAAGAAGTATAAGTGCTTCACATCAATGTCAGTGAATAAGTGTTGCCACGAGAAGCCGACACGTGATCGGAAACATCTCTCTAACTTGCGATAGACTCAGAGTGATCGATGAGTCGCCGTCGAGACGTTTTATCGAGAATTGTGGACACCCTTACCCCGTCACTCCCTCCTAGGGTTCTGGGGAAACGGTATTAAGTCTTGGGATCAGCCTTCGTCCGATACCCAATCCCCTCGAGCTTTTTTTTGTCCAAATCTTTCACCTTGTCCTTCTCGTTCTTCTCATCCACCTTATCCTTCTCGTCTATCTCGTTATCCTTGTTCACTTTGTTATCATTATTTATTTTATAAATTTTATTCATTTATTTTATCAGAATTGAGAAAGTTATTGTTTTAATGGTGAAAATAATGATATAAAATTAGAAGTGGGTTATAATGTCTCAACACAGAAAAAAAATTTGCAG